TTACTCCGCCGTATGAATAACGAACAAACGTATAGCTTTTTGCTCCCTCGGAATTACCGACCGAGCGTTCATAATACATACCTTCGCGCGAAGAGGTCATAGAGTTATGGCTAACACACGGCGAAACAGTTTAAAAATCGATGAACGTTAGCCGGAAGAGAATTGGTATATGCGATATATACTGTCGCAACGAGAGGAACGCTTTCGGATTTACGCAAATATCGTTCGCATTTTTTCGAAAGAAAATAAAAAAAAATCACGATGAAGTCAGGCACGGACAGTTTTATGCAATCCGACAGGCGCGAAAATTTTTTTTTCTCTCTTTTCTTTACAAGATGCTAATCAACAATATTGGTGAACTCTTTTGCATTTTTCTACGGAATCACATAAATTTTATCGACCGTAAGAGGATTGTATTCGTAGCAATAAAATTTCGTAATTGGAGAAAAAATTCGTCGGTCGTACTATAATAAATCGAGATTCGTAGGGAAAAGGAAACGAGATCGTTCGTTGAAATTCATTCAAACTACTTTACCAATTGTAGAAAAGGTAGCTCGCATTCGTACCAACTACAGAGATTTCTACATTATCAACAACTTTTCCTCCGGCAATACCGATCGAGTCTGTCTCGCCGTAGAAATTTCCCGTGGTAACGCAAAGGACAACGAGACACGTTCACCCCTCTCGTCGTTTCGTTCTTCGTTTGCAAAAAATCTAATAACGTGTAATCTTTAGGACGAATATATCTTCTTCTTTTATTGTTCTTTTCTCACCGAGTTTAATTAAAAGCTATAATAAGAAAATACTCGTTTATATGTAGTCGATACTACTTATCAACTATTACTATGTACTATGTTGTTTATTTCTAAATATTTAGATTTTATTCGAAGGCGATTTATAATTGCGATTGGTTAAGCCTTATTAAAATTTATATACCGTCAAGAATTGGACATACATCTCTTTGCGTCTAACTACTTGAGAAAGAAGAATCGAGAAAAATAAAGTCGATCAAAAGTTGGATAAACATGACTAATTAAATTTTCTTTCCCATCTAAATAAATAAGTGAAGCCGACATGATCGCTCATAAATATATATGCTAATAACTGCCTACGACGTGTACATGTACAAAACACAAAGAAAACCACTCGGATTAAAAAACGAGCAACAAATGCTATTTACGATATTTCGAAGGAGTGTTCGATATCTCAATTACTACTACTCGTTGTGCTCAAAGGCGTCCTCGTGAGTGAGAGAGAGAGAGAGAGAGAGAGAGAGAGAGAGAAAAAAAAAGTATCGAACACCTCCCATCAAGCACCACAAATCGACATCATCGAAGACGACGATCGTGAAAAATCTAATTTCGGGTTGAGACTACTTTGGTCAAAAGGTAACAACAACAACACACTGTGAGAGATCTTGCAGAAACGAGTAGCGAAAGAAAGGAAAAAATAAGAAAAAACTCGAGCGACAAAAAACACAAAAGAATATAAAAGAACAGAAAGAAAAAGAAAAAAGAAAAATAAAGGAAAAAGGAATACGGTTCTGTGTCATGTTTGACTGTTTTCAACCAATTTACTGACCTACCGCTAAATCAGTGTCGTACGAGAGTTCGTCCCCGCCAGCCTCCTCCACTCTTCTCTTCTCGCTCGAAAATTCCACCATCTGACGATTTCGTTATCGCCCGAGTGACGGAGCAATAATAAGAGAGAGAGAGAGAGAGAGAGAGAGAGAGAGGAGGAGGAGGAAGGGAGAGGTCGAAAGAAAGGAACTAGTTTTCATCGAAACCCCCGGGTCTCGAATTTGGCCCACGTCTAGCTCGTTCTGCTCAATCGCTTCCATCTCCCTCTGTCGATCTTTAGAACGTCGTTCTCGCTTCTTATCGCATCGATCGATGTATGATGCGAGATCCTTCGGGACGAAGCGCGTCCTCCATTCTTTTCTCCTCTTGTTTCTTTTGTTTGTCTCTTTTTCTTTTGCACTCTCTCCTCTTCTCCTCGTCGTTGGCATGACAAAAGAGAGGAGAACACGCTCACGGACTCTCTTTGCTCTTCGCTATCCTTTGTACGCAACACACGAAGGTGAGGAAAGAAGTTTCTCCTCGAAATCCCTGCTTCTTTTGTCTTCTCCCAAAGGAACAAACAGGGCACGCGCGCCTTCTCTTCTCTTCTCTTCTCTTCTCGAGCCACCACCTTTTTTCTCTTTGTCACAACCTTCTCTCGAGGTTCCTGCTGTCGTCGCCGCCGCCGCCGCCGTCGTCGTCGACACCCTTAATAAATAAGCTTCTCTCTGGTTCTGCGCCATCTTGAGATCCAACATGGTCCCCTCTTCGGGCTACTACACCGCCGCACACCATCGACGACGACCAGACCAACCGGATTGACATTACTTCTTTCCTTTCCTACGGAAGTAGAGTACTTGCGGATGTGCTTGTTTCTTAATACGACGAGAGTGCGCAACACAATACATCCAACCAAGTTACTTGAAACAATACATACACACACGTATATGTATATATAGCTATTTATATATATACGCGCGCGCGCATACATAAAAGTATATGCGTGTACGTAATATACCCATGCTCTTTTACGATGCGCTATTAACCAATCGACAACGTGATACATAGTTAATCGGTTAAACAACGGGATACTTTGTTATCGATGCTTCGTTAATATTGGAGTTTGCTCCGAAGAGCACTACGGACTAGTTGCTAAATAGAGATCAAACGAGAGGGAATATTATACGGGTGTTATATAAGAATATAAAGAGACAAACGCAATTATATAAGTTGTATGTACGTATATACATCATGTTATTAGACACGCCGCAGGAAAGTCAACGGACTTTGCGGAGTCGCAAGATCGAATCGCAAATCGAACGGAATCTCTCTACAGACCTATAGGATTTGCTACGAAGGACGATGGTCGGTGAAAGCTTAGAACGGATTTTCTATGACTACGAATAAAGGACAAATGCTCGAGCCTCTTGGTTCGCGTTACCCAACGTTACGAAATCACAACTGCCGATCAAACGTAATTAGAAATATCTTTATTATGTCTATCGCATACGTTAAAATCGTCGTAGTCTGTCAGAAGTGTTCAAACGATTAATCGGATATCTCGTGAAAGGTAACGATAACGCGTGTACAATGATTCCTAATCATTCTAAGCTAACACTCTGGCCGAAGATCATTATTTATGTAAGCCATCATTGAACCTGCGCGTATCCTACTACCCACTACTACTACTACTACTACAACTACTATTATTACTACTCTACTTTCACAGCTCGTGTAATTATTACTTTTGACGAATGAAAAATTTACTCCAACGAGTAGGACGATTTATTTTTTTATTTTATACCTCTCAAAGACCATTAGAAAGATGCTGCGGAATAAAGAAAAGATGAAATTGTTTTTGCAAAGAAACGCTCGATTTCGAAAGTAACTCCGTCGTTACGATCCAATAGCTGTCGATGAAGAAAGAAGAGAAAGAGAGAATGTGCGGCGCGTAGCGTGACCATAGGAAAAACCAAAAACAAAACAAAAAACAGAGAAAAAAGAGATGAAGTTGGGTATAGGGAAAAAAACGGAAGGACGAGACAAAAAAAAGTGAAACGGTAAAAAGCCAGAGAGAGAGAGAGAGAGAGAGAGAACGTCGAATAAAACGCAAACTCGTTCTGTGGTTGCTTTTACGACCTCGTAATAAACGATCGAAAAATGAAATAAAAAAAAAAAAAAAAAAAAAAAAAAAAGTAGAGAGAAATTTGTTGGAACTGTCCAGCGATATGGGAACGCGATTCGTTATCGCGTTAACCGTACAAAATGCTTCCTATTTCGAATCGATCGAAAAAGGACGAATAAGGATTCCATCGAAAAGGAAGATTTCCTGCGTTTTTGCCATTTCCATCACGCGGAGCTAAACCCGTTTCGCGAGATTATGAGAGGGAGAACTCGTCGAGAAATTCTGACATCGGTAACATCGGGAACCTACGGACGAGTCTACTTACCGACTACAGCGTATACGCGCGCGCGCGCGCGCGCGTGCTCGTTTACCACGGCTACGTAACGCGGAACGTGGTGAAGTAAATCTCAAATAAACATACGTAACAGTTACACACACGCGTACACCATTCGCGAAAGGATCTAAGAGCGATCTAAGTCGTAGGAGGAGTCATTTTCGTTTTTTTTCTTTTTCAACGTTACATTTATATGGTTATGTATGTTAGAGTGATACTTTTCTAACGATTACCCTACTTCCATGTAATATGCAGAGAGAAATAGAGAGTCAAAATGTGCAAAGAGAGAGATAGGAATCATAGAAGGAATGGAGAAGGAAGAGAGAAAGGTCGATCGGTGCAAGAGAGTCAGCTAAAAAAAGAACGAGAAGCGCGAGAGTAAAAGAGAGAGAGAGGGGGGGGGGGGGGGGGGAGATAGAGAAGAAAGGGCGACGAACGAAGGAAAAAAGGAGAGAGCGACAGAACGCGCGCGCGAAGGGAATTTCTTGGCGAGAGAGGCAGAAATCCTGACCACACCCATCGATTCGATCGTTGCGGAATCGCCGATCGGCAAGCTTTTTCCCTCCTTTTAATCCGGTCGTTGGATTAAAAACACCGACGATACACAATGTGGCTTTTGCTACGCGAACGTCGAGAGGACGTTCTAACCTAAATTTGATCGCGTGCGTGACTCTATTCGATCGAATCAAACTTATTGCAGGTTCTTCTAAGAAACGTAGAAAGTATCGAGGTGTGCCAGATTCTGAGATTTTTCGTTCGCCATTTTTGTTTACCCCCACACGGAAATTAACTTTTTATTATTATTTCGTTCGGAAGAAACTCGTCGGCATGCTCCATTTAACTTTGCTAACAGATAAAGAAGCTATTTTTTCTTTCTCTCTTTCCTCGCGCCACTCCTCTCCCCCTCCCTCCCTCTCTCACTCTTCCATGGTGGTTTCTTTACCTGGGCTCGGTTAGGATCTGGTAATTAGAGGAAACTCACAATAGACAATACACCGTGTCTTGGTCACCGTTGGTCCACCGTTCGCGCCCGCACCCGGTGGTCCATAGTCACTTCACCAGGCCCGACAACCAGATTTCGTACCTGCATCCTTGAAAAAAAAAAGAGACAACAGCGGTTCTCAGCTGAAAAGACTTTTCATCAACGGGCCGACGATGGCTCGCCATTTTTTAAGCGTAGTCCTTCTCTCTAATTTCTTTCTTTTCTATTTGTTTATCTTTTCATCTGTCTAGTACTCTTTCCCACTCTTTCATTTCGTTCGATGGCAAAACGTCGCTGGGAAAGTCTGCGGAAGAAGTCTCCTTTTCTCTGACTCAACCAAGAAAACATGTCAGAGACTTTCCTCTTTTCTTTTCCCTCTCGAACCTCTAAACGTGTCCGCCGCTCAAATACACAGCAAATATATATCTAACGATTTACTCATTCCAGCGTCGTTCCGACGAAACGGAAAGAATATAATATAGTCTACCATAGAAGCTTATGTAAGAAGTTCAACGCGAAAGAGACAATCACAAAAGTCTGCTATAATACAAATACTTCCTCTTGCGCTTTACTTCAAACGTGGCTATGCGTTAAAGAGCAATGGGTGATATACTAATGACGATTAAATTATCAATACATCTAAATCTAAACGATATACACAACTATATATATATATATATATATATATATATATATATATATATATATATGTACATACACACACATACCAATAGATAATATGCGCAGTAAAACAAAAAATGATCAGTTGACAAAATAAGCGACGATACTTCTACATGTATACATATATACATATACATACATACATATATATAGTGTATACATGATTATAAATTAGATGCGTTGAGTTTGCCGCAACTACCAGATATCAAATGTATAATATATACGTGTATAATAGATGTAACAGTGCCTCGCCATACCAATTGCATAAAAAATAAAGCCACGGATATACTAAAAATCGGTGACTCACTTTCAACTACTCAAGCGATATATAAATATAATATAATATTATAATAATTGTGCTAAAACAGCGTTTTTTTAGATAGTCATTGGCGGCTATCGTACAATGCCCGATGTTTATATTTCCTACTAATATAACTAATTGATTGCGCGAATAAGAGGAAGAAAGGGAGGAGTGAGGAGGGGAAATGACGCGAACGGAACAATGGTCCTAGCGAATAAAAAAAGATATTCCCGTTACAGCTATACGAATCCAGAAGAATTATTCTCCGTCGTTATGTCGCTGTTTCTACTGTTTTCTAGCGATCTCTTCTATCGTCCTCGAAAAGTACTCGTACTTTGCGACGAGCTTCAAACTCGATTGGAATTTGTTTCCTGCAAAGTTCTCGCAAGCTTCGGATACTCGAATGATCGTCATGGTAGACGTTCCGTCTACTCCCAAGTATCTCAAGAGAGAGAAAGAGAGAGAGAGAGAGAGAGAGAGGTTGGAGAAGAAAGCAAACAAAAAAAAAAACAAAAAACAAGAAAAAAGCAAAAAGAAATAAAAAGAACGAGGAAAAGTCTCGAAAGAGAGTGGAAATTTCGATGTCGCACAAATTTTCTAATGAGAGAACGTAGGTGGATGAAGTTAAAAAAGTATATGAAAGAAGGGAACGGAGGAGAATGAAAAAACGACGTAACTTGAAAAGTTTTGTCCTTCCCTCCGTGCAGAGCGAATATCCACGGTCCATCATCGCGGAGTTCCTTTGACTTCTCTCGGTTTTTATTTTATACGGATTTATATACGATTGTGAAAAGGAAAATATTAAAAATGTCTTTATTTAAAGCAAGCTTAATTTTTCCAGCGCATCAAGGTCACTTTGTTAATTTTCTTGCAATTCCTAGTAACGACAGGACGACTATCTAGGAAGAAGTAGAGGGGAGGAGAGAGAGAGAGTGAGAGAGAGAGAAAATAACGTAGGAGGAAATCCATAGGCGTAAAAGGCGCGCGGGCGCACAACACGCAGCTCTCTCGCACAGTTTTCGAGAAAGTGGTGGGGGATGAGGCTAGACACGATGGAGGGAAGACAAGAAGGGGAAGGGGGAGGGAGAGCGAGAGAGAAAGCAAAAAGGCACGATAGGGAGAAAGATCGGACTATATGCCGGGGCACATCGGGTCGATACTCGTTTCCAACGAATCGAGAAAATTCTTCCGAATGACTCGTCTAATCCACACACACAAACACACAAGCATACGCATTCGTTTGCGAGCAGATAGTAGAATAAAGTGCCATTGAGATAGATCCGTTCGATGATCCGGCTCGCTGCGAAACGATATATATATATATATATATATATATATATATATATATATATATGTATGTATATATATATATATCCCGTGAGTCGAATAGATTCTAAGACATAGGTAACAGCAATCCAAGGCTCGATCAATAAAGCACAATGTTGAAACAAAAGGAGATTGCTTTTTCTTTTACATTTCCATGCGAGTAATTAGCCGGAGCGTCTCGGGCACTTAAAAATAATTTACACTCGAGTCCCGAGAATCGGATCGTTTGAGTGCTCGAACGCTAACGACGCTGCGAAGAAGGTACACAACACGAGTGGTGCCAAGTGTCGAAGAGACGACACAAGAGGAGTCGTTTCGTAGCGAAAATGCGCGCGAAAAAATATGGAATATATCGAAATTTGTTTTTATCCCCTTCTTGGTATTTCTATAACTTTTCCTTCAACCGATTATATCAAACTCGTTTTACGAATAGTTACGTTTCGTACAATACAAGCTGCAAGCAATAATAATAATCCGTCGTAAATCGAAATGAAAATTAATTCGATCAGAGAACGAGTCGAATTGAAAGCCTCTCCTTCCTCTCCTCGTCGATCCCAATTTTTGACAACCCCGTAGACGCATAGGCGTCGCTCTTAAAAAAGAAAAAAAAAAAAAAAAAAAAGAATCAAGGTTCTTCGGAAGGTGGGGGTAAATCTCTCTCGGAACAGTCGGTAAACTTAGATTCCTACCTCCGTGCGAACGACTGCTGCCACCAACGTCGTCTGCGACACCTCCCTTTCGCACCCACCAACACCCTACGAACAACCGTCGTCGTCGTCGTCGTCGTCGTCGACGCCACCCCTTCGGCGAACCTATCTTCGCCTGGTCAATAACCTCCGTGCTCTCTCGCGTACAACGTCTATTATAATCGTCTCCTCGTTTGAGAGCCTCTGTTCCTCTTCTACGGTCTTTTTCCTTCTTCCTATCGCTTCTAATCGTGGCAAATTCTTTCCTCCGAAACATCCATATCCGATTTCAGCAATTTATCCTACATAAATTACCGAAATCTTTCTACATCCGAGCCGTCATATCGGACGATATCACAGAGAGGAGCTCCGTTGAGAACCACCGTCGTCGTCGTCGTCGTCGTCGTCGTCAAACTTACCTCTCGAGGGAAGCCTTAAGAAGTTATCACGACGTAAATGTTTCGAGATAGACGGCCAGGGAGTGAGAGAGAAACTATCCGAGAGTTTAAAAGGATGTCCCTGTCGATGCTGCTCGAAGAGGAATTATTATTTATGACGGAGAGGATGCGAGCATTGTCAAAGATAATTAATAGAAACTTTCCTCCTCTTAAATGAAACCAGAGAGAAATCGTATAATGGATATTAATCGTGTCGAAATCGACGATTAATTATTATCGATCGACCATTGCAACGAGCTCGTGAAAAAGTCATTAAAATCGATGCTAGGAACGCGATTAAAGAATTTCAAACGACGAGAGTACAGCGGCGTACGATCTTGTACGAATTCATTCTCCCTGGAAATTGCAAGCGTAAGGTGATGCCATCTGTACTGGTGGTCTCGAAGCGAGTCTTAAAAATCATCCCCCTAAGATCAATACTCCGTACGCGAATGGGCACGAAGTCTGTAAAATGCAAAGTCTAGCGGTCGCTATTCTCTTTCAATTTTATACAAAACGTCGTCGATATTCCTCTATCGTATCGATCTAATCCTCGTTACTCGTAATTGCACGCAAAATTTCATTCGAGTCAAGTCAATTCTCTTTATGCGTTCGGTAGAGATGCGGATTCTCCAGAGTCGCTAGGAATTTATATCGTTTGCCGAGAGAGAGAGAGAGAGAGAGAGAGAGAGAAAATCGACCAAGGGAGTTCAACATGGCTGCTGTGCCTCCTTGGGTAATCGATGATCATTAGCGAAGAGCTTGTTAAACAAATGCGAGCAGAGTTCGGACGATTTAGAAACGCATGCTCTTTGGAAACCCTACGGAGGGAGCCAAAGGATGTATGGATATGGAAGACCCATGAATTCGGGTCGGGTATTTGGCTTAGGAGAGTGCTTATCAAAGGTTTCTTCGCGAGTCCTCTTTGCGGCTTCTAACGAGATAATTCGATTTCTACCACTTCTATCGCTCCCTTCTTTTTCTCTTTCGAGGGTGTTTTAAACATTTTTTCCCTCCTCTCAACTTCCTTGCAAACTCGCGACTTACGAAATTGATTCTTCTTAAAAGAGAGTCACCTAGAAGAGAAAATAAAGAAAAAAAGGAAAAAGAAAAAGGAAAATTATAGGTGCAACAGGTCCGTCGAAAGAGAGGTAAGAGTAAATACATATACATATTTATTTATATATACGTCTATGTACGTAGACGCTATCGCTAGAGATTCTGCGCGTCGAGTAGCCACGACGAGAAAATTCCTCTTAGAAAATTAATTACTCAGGATCGATCGATTCACCGATTTATTCGAACAGACATCTTTTAGCGTTTAGCTCGTAAACTAAAATGGGTCATCACGTCATACCGAGAACTGGCTCTATTCGAAACCGACGATTCAGCCCACTCGTGCGTTTCCGAGTATCGAACTTTCCTTCGAAACGGATAAAGGAGAGAGGCGAGTAAATACGGAAAACGCATGTCGAGTACCCTCTCCTCTCTGCTCGAACGAGCCGACGTAAAAAATTTTTCCTAGAAGTAAGACTCAGGGAGGAGGGAAGCATATTTTTAAGCTGCATTCGATGGAAAAAAAAAAAAAGAAAAAGGAAAAAAGGGGATGGACGGACTTCTACCGCTTCTAATCGTCACAATGAATATATATGTACGACGAATGCTCCTTTACTAATAA